CTCGGCTCTTCTTTCCTTTTAGCACTTCTTGTCTTCTCCAATTTCTCATGCACGGTTTTAACCCAGCAGGGTGGGGGGGGAAAAAAGAAGAAGAAGAAATGGCCTTTTTTAGACATTGCTGTTCAGCTAGCACTTTTCCCTCCACTGTGAGAAAATGAAAAGCCATCGTGTACAGTTAGAACCCTCCAATCTTCAGTTCCTCCCGGGGGTGGAATGATTAGAGCCTACCCCACTTTTTAAGGCTTATAAGAGAGTCTTTTAAAATGCAGAGACATGAAGGGTACAGAAGCCAAGGTTATAAAACATGTATCCACCAGTCCCTGCCATTTGCCAGTATATAGGAACTATACAGCCTGCAGTCCTGATCCTTCCAGCTTCTCAGCGGAATGGGCTGACAATGGGAGCAAATTAACAAATACAATAGAACACGATGTATTTATTGGAATTATATGTTCTCTCTATCCTAGGTCTGTTTGACAACTAACAGTGCATATTTAGGTAACCAGGGGAGTTCAGAGAACATTTTCCAGGCATTGTGATCTATAAAGCCAAGTCTCGGGTCAAGGTATAAAACACAACACAGGAAATAAACTATGTAAATTAATGACACACCACATCGCCACAAAGTGTGTTTAGAGAAGTGTGTCTGAACATGGCTCAGGTATTACGTTTACGAGTGAATAAAGATGGGTATGAGGGTAGAGTAGTATGTCCAGTGAGTCTAGCAATTACAGTTAAAAGCTGTGGCCTTATTCATTTGAGTCATGGGAAAGTGTTGGTAGGGTATAATAATGGTCAGACCTTTTAAAGGACTTTTTCCCCTAATGAAATTCCTAACAGTACTGAAAGAAGTATTCAGTAGGCTGACTGAAGCTTTCTCATATAAGATGGCTACAAATGTACCTCAAAATAATATGCCAATAACAGAAGATAATGCAACAATATAACAATATTATTAACATATAAAGACAATAGAAAATCAGGAAAATTAACTACAAAACAAAAATTTTAATAAAACAGAAGATGTACTATAAAAGCTTACAGAAATTCTAGTAGAATTATAAACTTCTATATTCCCTGTGGTGCAGATTGCAAGTGCCTGAATTTAAAATTAGTTCACACATATTTCAATATATACTAATGACCACTGCTCACCTGCAAGATTTAATGAATGGCTAAGTTTTGCCTTGTGCAGTAAGTTCGATTCCATGAAAGATAGGGCACTATTCTGACTCAGTTAAAAGATATCCCACATGTTCCTTCCCCATCAAGATAACTGTCACATGTCACTTTTGTGCAAGAGACATGTTCATCTCACTGACTACTTTTCAAAGAGCAATATGGAGATTATTAAAGGGACCACACACAATTTTAAAGGAAAATTCACACACAACATATGACACAAACTTATTTTCTCATTCTCCCCACTGAGCAGTCCTGTCTTTATCTTACATTCACTAAGCAGCATTAAGTCTCCTGAGCATCATTTAAAACTTGAAAATGGGCTATGTGGGGCTCCACCACCTAATTTAGGAAAAACATTCCACCTTGTAATTCACTTGTAATATGAGTCAATACAACTATAAACTCAGTGATGCAATTTTCTATTTAACGTTTACTAAGATTCCAGAAATGTTTTCACACAGATATTCTTCCGGCTGCTTGCTTAAGTGCTGGTTAGTATTCTCAGACCAAAACTCAACTGATGTATACAAATGTCTGCAAAATAAACTGATTTTGTAAGCCTAGTCACTCTGCACACTAGAGTAATGTGTAGGTTCCAGTAGTCTGGGTCAGCTTTTGCAAAATTACAATGCAATAATAAGTACCATAAAAATCCCCGTTGATTAGAATAAAGAAGGCTCTCTTTTCATTCATGATATATGACAACTGAGGTCAGTTTCAACTCTATGGTGATATTTTATTTGTACTGAAATGTGATTTTATTTGTATGTTAATAAATAAAGTTGCCAGGGGGTCAGAGCTAATAGCAAGCCACAGCAGAGCTGGGCGTTCGTGGTGCACGCCTTTAATCCCAGCACTTGGTAGGCAGAGCTAGGTAGATTTCTGTGTGTTCAAGGATACAGCCAGCATTGGAGACACACACCTTTAATCTCAATACCAACCATAGAAGACCTGGAAGTCTCTACAGACAGGCAGTGACAAGGCAGTCATGTGTTTGGGTTTACAACCAATGAGAAGGCAGAAGAGAAAGACTATATAAAGACAAACACACAGGAAGTAGCTCTCTTTCGGAGAGGTCTCTTGGCTGAAGAGGCTAGCTGCAGCAGGCGGTAAGGCTCTTAGCTCTGATCTCTTGGCTTTCTTCTTTGCATTGGTTCTGTGTTTCTTATTTAATAAGATGGTCTGTTCCATGCCTTAGTTCTGGCATTAGGCTAACGGAGCAGATTTCTTCTAGATTGATTCCCCTCGTGATAAGGGAAAAAAGGAGTCACATGAGGAGAAGAGCCTTCTGCTTCCTCCTTAAAACACACTTGTGCATGACTCTCACTGGCCAGCACAAATCCAGTGGTCAGTGCAGAGGCATGGGACATGGAGATGTGACTCTCATTAGAGGACCAGGAAATAATTGGGAAGAATAGTAGATACTATTGCAGCAAATACCTACACTCAGGATGTTTTGTCTATCACATATAGTATACTATAATTTAGGAAATGCAAAAAAAAAAATCACAAGTTTCAGTGGCAAAAGATGTGGCTACATTAGGAGTTGTGAAGCCATTGTTCCAGCCAAAGAAAAAAAGATATTTATTCATCTCTCACATTGAGAGGCTAGAGAAGGCAGGGGTAGGTACAGGTGGGTTCTGGAGTAAGAATTAATATGATAAGTACAAATTCAGACATAATATACAACCTAATATCGGTTTCCAGACTCTATTCCTACCCCATCCCACCCACCAATCCACCTAACCATCCAACTGGCCAGGAATCATCTCATACAGTGACCTGTGGACTTCACTGGTATCTATTTTCTGATTTATAGTTTATTTCCTCATTTTAAAGCCCTTGTTTTCTATTCCTACTTTACGTCTTTAATTCCCTTAATTCTTTAAGTCAAAATTCCTCTAAGTACCGACTATATAAATTCCTTCATTTTTCACAAGACTTTATTTCTGTGCGTACTGGAAATTTGGGGCTTTCAATTTATCTTATCAATGCAGTAATGGCTTTTTGTTTTGTTTTTAACTTTTCACAAAGCTTCTCTGGCATAAACACTAATAACCACAACTGTGTTCTCTGCTCCTAATTTTCAATGCTTATAGCAAGACAAGGACTATCACAAAGTCATATCAACAGGAAAACAAACTTCTTGTTTGAAATATAAGTTATAATGTATTTTCCACTGGATAGTAATATGTAACCTATGTCACTTCCTAGGCTTCATGTTTAGATATTCTGTGCCCTCATCTGATCTGTATTCTCAGCCAAGGTGAAGTTTTCTTCCAACCTCTCCCATACATTGAACTGTAGGCTGCACCTGCCCACATCACAGTGAGCCATGCTCTAGGCCTGTGTATCCTCCGCATGCCATATTTCTTGAAGATTACCAGTCTTCCCTAATCCTGGTGTTTTTATAAATGGTAGCTACCTTTGTCTATGTCATTTTCCTTTAATATAGAATGTTATCTTTCTTGCTATATCACTGCTAATATAATCAGTGAAAATCAAGGGAGCACATAGCCTGACTTTCTAGTGCTTAGGAAATTGATCAAATAACGTCTTCTATGAAGATGCAGGAAAATATGACTTTACTCATCACTTCTATTCCATTTGATTATCACTACTTCTCATGACAGTTAATGATACCAATTTTGTTAGCTAAATCCTGTACTTTAGGAGTTAATGGGCACTGGTGGAACAACTTGTGGTAACAGGTTCATGGACAGATAGTGACCTTAAAACTCATCAACTTGCAAACATTAAATGATTCACTTGTAAAAGGAAAAAAAAAATTCACACTGTCAGCTATGAGTGGTCTTGTATTCAGTCTGACTAAGCACAATTCTGTGAACATCAGTGGAAAGCTACTTTGTCATTTTATCATTTGGCAATCAAATGTCTCAAATATGACAAAAGATTTCACAGTCACCAAAAGTTTAGTGCCAATCTTAAAGCATTCATCTCAAACCTTGAGACTGCTTGACACTCCCAGGGATGATGAGTAACAAGTTACACTCGTGAGAGCGTGTCTAATCTATGAAGCACAAGCGCCTGAAAAAATGGGGTCTGAATAAAAGGCCTTCCACCCTGCTCATCTATGCTCCCTAGAGGCTGTTCAAGACCAGAGCCAAAGATGACCATCTTAGCATCGGGTGTCATCTGATGGTGATGCTCTGCACAACACATTGCCCTGGGTTAGGGTGTGAGAAGATGTCCGACATCCCTCTAGATTCCATTCCTTACTTGGTCCTTATTTCTGGTTTGAACAATAAACTACGAATATGATGTTCAGTTCTTCATCTTCCTCTTCTCCTGCTGATTGGGCACTGAGAAACACTCCAGACAACTCTGTCTCATCAAAGTATCACTCATACATAGCTTGAATAGTTTCCTCCCAACCCTGACATGCCAGATTCTTAACCTAGTTCTTACCTATCAGTTGGTTGTGAGGTCCTCAATATATTATATAACTTTATGGGGAGAGTTCTGCCTGCCTAGGTAGCTTAAGCCATTTGTGTGGGTTCTTGTGACATCTCCTGGCCTTTCTGTCATAGGCACATCTGAATGAACAAACATTTTCCACTGAGTGACTCAGAACAAAGGGGGTAACTTCACCAACTGGCAGCATCGTTAAACATGCTTCATATGTATAGAGACCTCAGTGTGAGGCTAATAAAGTCTCTGTTAGAAGATATCCACTTCCTTGTTCTGTATCTTTGGAGCTCTTCTTCAGGCTTCTGTATTAAACTGTATGAATTATTACTTAAATGTTTAATAGCTGTTAACCCATGGAAACAATCACATTTTTCTAATTTTAGACGGCCCAAGAGTATACACAGCATATTTAAAATTGGAGCACAGTGACGAGAACATTAAATTCTGGATGGCATGTGAAACCTACAAGAAAATTGCCTCACGGAGGGGCAGAATTTCTAGAGCAAAGAAGCTTTACAATATCTACATCCAGCCACAGTCCCCTAGAGAGGTAACAATGGTGGGACATGGCAGTGGGGGGGGGATATCCCTTAGAAAATACTAATAACCTGAGCATCATTACATGCCAGACATATTCTATTCCAAAATCCCCTAAAAATTGTATAAACTAAGAATTACTAATCTGCCAGGTGGTGATGGTGCACACCTTTAATCCCAGCACTGAGGAAGCAAAGGTAGACGGATCTGTGTGAGTTCGAGGCCAGCCTGGTCTACCTAGTGAGTTCCAGGACAGTCAGCGCTATATAGAGAAATCCTGTCTGGAAAAAGAGTTACTAATCTTATTTTTCAGTCACAAAACCTAGGAGTTAGATAATTTAATGAACTTAATGAATTCCCCCTGTGTGGTACAGTCATTATGTAGTACCATTAGGATTCAAAGGTGAGCTGTTTGATTCAAAGTCCTCTGCCCATTAGCTTATCTTAATTCCCAGCAGAGTTAAAAAGAACCAAGGGGTCATTGGAATAATTGTCTGGCAGCATAAACTTGAAATGCCATGAATGGGCAGGAGCACTTCCTCAGTAGTGTTGGCCCTGTGTGCCACCCCACTTTAGTGTAAACCCACAAACTCAGCTGACATCCATGTTGCCGTTACTGCCGTCACTTACGCTGTCCGACATTGAGACTCCTGACAGAGAGACAGCCAAAAAATTACAATTCATGTTAAATGCAAGGGTAGAGGATACCAGAGGAGATTTCTGTCACTTAGCATAACCCTATATTATTCAACTTTTCCCACAAACTCTTATGGAAATTTCTAGTCTTCTGAGATAACCACTTCCTCCCTGTAGTTCTTCTTCACTTCTCTTCACTTGCTTCCCATTTCAGGACTTGTTTGGCCAACACAGCATTTGTGACTATTAAGGAAGGTAAAGTTGAAAGCAGCCACCAACTTCCTTTTTACTTTAAAAAGAGCCCTCCAGTTCATAAACTTCCATGTTGGCAGACAACCACTAACAAACCACCGGCATCTCCCAGATAAGCAGTGGTTTCTACAGTTTCCTGGCTGTGGATTCCATGCTTTCTTTATTGCTCTGGAACGATAAAGGCAGATTTTTTTACTTTTAAAAAGAGCAGAGGCTTAACTTCCTAAAAGTCCTTTTAGATACCTATGAAAACTTCACCCAAAACTATGCTGTTATTTTGAAAAGAAGGGTAGTAATTAAAGCATTCCATTGCAGGCATACACATTTGATTGTGCTTAACCTATCATTTCATTTTTCAGATTAACATCGACAGTACAACAAGAGAAGCTATCATCAAAAGCATTCAAGAACCCACTCAAACATGCTTTGAAGAGGCTCAAAAGATTGTGTATATGCATATGGAAATGGATTCTTATCCCAGATTTTTGAAGTCTGAAATGTACCTAAGACTTCTAAAAACTGTTCAACCCAAAAGTTCTTGAGTGCTACCCAGAAGTTCAAGCGGAAGATGGCACATTGCAAGTGTTAACTTAAATTTAGAAAAATATACAAAACAAGAATGAAAGGAGAAATGAAACAGAATCCAAGCCATAAATTGATTTCTAGTTCCCAAATGAAATGCATTCCAAACATAATGAGCTCGCAAATACTACAGCACAATTTATAGCATACTTACAGAGAGGAATTAACAGAGAAGGAGAAAGAAGCTAGCTTCATCATACAAACACTATAACATTTTTACTATACTAGGCAACTCATGATCTTTCCTCATTAAAGAAATTTAGCAGCCATAGCACAGACAACTTGTTTTAAAACCTTTGCTCTTTAAATTATGTCTCTATGTATTCTACAGATATGCTCAAAATCACTTGAATTAGTATATAAGCTTAATAGTCATGGTATAATCAATTATATTGTAGCATGAGAAGTATGAAAAATATGTTCTTAAGAGACAATTTAGCTATAAATTTTTCCTAGTAGGATGTCCATAATTGACCTCCTATATCACATATACCTTCTACATGGAAAATCTTTGTGATGAGTCTAAGTGGTTATTATGTGTGACTCATTGTTCATTTGTATTGTTTACTTTGCTATTGGGGTATAAAATTTTGTCTTTTATTTGGGGATTTGTTTCTTCACAGTATGAAATCATCATGGTGTTGGGAGCCAATAAATCGAAACTAAAAGGTAATGTGCATATTTTTCAAAGATGCCTTATTGTACCTTGCAGTACAGATTCCAAAGGGGCTGAAGTTTGTGAAAAGTAAGAAAATAGAACAAAGGGCAGTTTAACTTACTTGTTTGGTGTCACCTTTCTGTCATTTTAAAACACTGAAAGAATGTAGACTCAACCCTCAGATTTGGAGTTCTGGGGGTTCAACAAAACATACACAGGTACAAAGTTTGAACTGTAATTTTTTTTTTTTTTTTTTTTTTGGTTTTTCGAGACAGGGTTTCTCTGTGTAGCTTTGCGCCTTTCCTGGAACTCACTTGGTAGCCCAGGCTGGCCTCGAACTCACAGAGATCTGCCTGCCTCTGCCTCCTGAGTGCTGGGATTAAAGGCGTGCGCCACCACAGCCTGGCGAACTGTAACTTTTATACTTAAAAAAAATCAAGTCTTAGCCGGGCGGTGGTGACGCATGCCTTTAATCCCAGCACTCGGGAGGCAGAGCCAGGCGGATCTCTGTGAGTTCGAGGCCAGCCTGGGCTACCAAGTGAGCTCCAGGAAAGGCGCAAAGCTATGCAGAGAAACCCTGTCTCAAAAAAAACAAAACAAAACAAAAAAATCAAGTCTTGTGTTGTTGATGGACAGGAAACATTGAAACTGATCCTCACCCTATACCAGAATCACTTTTCAATACACATGTTTTGTCTTGGTTTGACAGAGCATCTTACCCCTCTGATGAAACCAAGCTTCTCCTCTCACTGTGACTACCACATCTGCATATTGCCCGTGGTCCTTACTCCGTGGGCTAGTGTGTTTTATTGCACCTTCACGGTTCACAAGGTCCCAGGCATTTTAACTACAGCTTCCCATGTTTAAAGGGGCAGGTGAGTAACTGCACAGCCAACCACAGTGTATTCAGTTGACAAAAAGTGCTGCGTCACTCAACCATCTGCCCCCAGCTCCAGAGATGTCAACAGAACAGTAAGTGACTCAGGGAAGAACCACTGCAAGACAGTGGGGAAGTGAATACTGTGACTCCACACAAAACCATGGAAAGAATACTAAATTTATTACTAGAAACTTAAGTTTCCCTTTGGAGTTCCAAAAATGACTGTTACATGAATTTATTTAGATCTGGGTATACTATAGAAAGTTAGAAACAAAAATGTCACAATCTTTCTGCTCTTCAGTTTCCTTATCTTTTTTATTCATTTTACATTTTATTTATTGCGGGGTGGGTACACGTGCATGCAACAGTGCATGTGCAGAGGCACAGGGACAACTTGTAGAAGGGAGTCAGTTCTGTCTTTCTACCTCGTTGGTCTCAGGGATCAATATCAGGTTGTCGGGCTTGATGGCAAGCACCTTTATTCATTAAGACATCTCATAGGATCGAGTTTCCCTTTCTCTGCCCTCTCTTTACTTTCTCCGTCTTCCTATGTCACCCACCCCAGTCTTCCACTCGCTCTGTAACCAAAGCAAACCTGGAACTTGTAATCCTCCTGCCTCAGTCTTCAATTAATTTGGATTATAGGCCTGTACCATCAAGGCCAGTACTTCAGTACTTGTAAATTAATGTTTTTCTCCATTTAGGATGATGGTGGACATAGGCTTATTATCTAGAGCCTTTTCTGTGTGTTTAAGTGCATTCCATCCAGTCCTGTTTTCTCTAAGGCTTGATTGTGAAGGCATGTTGGATTTACTTGCTCAGCCATGTTTATTTGTGCTCTGTTCACAATCTAAATGTCCTTCAACAGATAAAAGGGTAATGAAGATGTGGTGCATATACATGACGGAATTCTATCCAGCTGTAACAAAAAATAAATCATGAAATTTGTAGAAAAATGGGTGAAACTAGAAAATATTACATGAGTGAAGTAACTCACACTCAGCAAGGCGAGTGCCTCTTGTTTGTGGATCCTAGCTCTGACTCTTTAGATCTGAGTATATAACCTGGAGTAACCACAGAAAGCAGGAACATAAGAAGGGAACATAGATGCAGAGATGAGAAGGAGCTCGAGAGAGGTCTAGAAAGAGGGTATAATAGGACACAAGTACTGTGAAGGAGGATGAGAAAAATGGGAGGCAGAGGGAAGGCACTACTGAGAGAAGGAGGGAGGGAGGAGAGATGATAAAGAACACTAAGGATGATTGAGAAAATCATGAGAAACCTATTGTTTTGTATTTACTTAAGCATACATATAATATATATAAGCGTGCGTGTGTGTGTGTGTGTGTGTGTGTGTGTGTGTGTGTAATTTAAATGAAGTTATGTCACTTAGGGTGAGAATGTTCTCCCCATGAAGTATAAACTATCTAACAAAAGCCCCGGTGCCGAACATGGCAAATCCTCCTTTGAGTGGTTAGGCTTGAGCACCCAAGGGACTCCTATAACTATAGACAACTGCCATTGCCCTTGGTTGCCTTCCAGAACTTGAAGGTAAGGCCTTACTACGAAAAACACCAAATTCTTCAGACACAAAACTTGGAAGAATCCAGCTGGAACTGACCTGTGAGTTTCCCCCTGTGGATTAGCTCTCATAGCATCTAGAGGTGCTACACAAACTGTCAAGGGAGAAACGAAATCAACCGTCCTACAAACCACAGCAATGGCCAGCATGGTGAGATACAATCAAGAGTGCCATGGTGACACTTCTATCTTGTTAGTAACCAACAGTCATCAAATTAGAAGGGCTTACTAAATAGGAAGAAATTCATGCCTGGTACTTTAAACCTAGCCAAGTATCTATGGCCGGTAAGTTCATGGATTCTAGAACTTATTACTACCACTTTCCTAAACCAGTATAATTCCCAGCTGTACTCTAAATACCTATTGTCATCTCTACAAATAAGTGCAGCTCTCGCCCCTCATCAATGAAGCTTCTTTTTGCAGCAGATAGATACCATCACGGAAAACCACAACTGGTCAAAATACAGAGAACAACTGGCTTTGGGGGTATTGTAAACTGTTTAGAAGTTTATCCCATCTGAATCTGTCTTACTGTGAATCTATTGCTTTAAACTGCAGCATGCTCCACCCACTCAGCTTCCCAACTTGGTGGTGGTAACTTTACCGCCATGCTTCCACAGACTCTAGGAAGCAGTGGATCTATTCTTCCATCCAACAGCGTGTGGCTCAGAAACCTCTTTTTTTTTTGTCTGTATTAACAAAGGCTAAATCCACCATGCAGCAGCAGTGTAATGTGCAGCTTGGAGATGCCTCATTCCCGCCATACTGCAGGTCAAGCGTGCACACGAGGAACCTGCCACATAGTAGCTCAAGCATGCAGGCACTGCTAACTTGAGAGAGACAACTAGAAAACTGTTTTAGCTCTGTTTTAGAATTTTTTTTATGCTTTTTCGGGTTTTAGGTGGAAATTCTTGCCGCACATTGGGCGCCATTTGTAGCTGAAGTTTTCCTGGTCCCACCTGGCCCATGGTCAGGACAAATCTCTCTCACCCACCAGTCCCACAGCCAAGTAAACACCTACAGAGACTTATATTACTTATAAACTGTATGGCCATGGCAGGTTTTTTTATTATCTAGTTCTTATATCTTTTTTATTTGATTTTATAATTTAATTTAATTTTACATATCAGCCATGAATTTCTTGTTCTCCCCCCTCCCACGCCCCCCCTGACTTTCTCCCCAGCAACCCCCCATTCCCATCTCCTCCAGGGCAAAGACTCCCCTGAGGATTAAGTTCAACCTGGTAGATTCAGTCCAGGCAGGTCCAGTCCCCTCCTCCCAGGCTGATCCAAGTGTCCCTGTATAAGTCCCAGGTTTCAAACAGCCAACTCATGCACTGAGTACAGGACCCAGTCCCACTGCCTAGATGCCTCCCAAACAGATCAAGCTAATCAACTGTCTCACTTATTCAGAGGGCCTGATCCAGTTGGGGGCTCCTCAGCTATTGGTTCATAGTTCATGTGTT